ACTTTCACTCTAGAAATATTATTGCTCTATATGGAGCGTTTATCACTGTGCCATGAGGTATCCAGTGGAGGAAGATGTGGAGGCAATGAGGTCAGGTGGAGGATACAGAACTTCCCTTTTAATACTGAAAAAAAAGAACAGAATCCACAATCCTGCCCTACAAAATTCATATTTCTTATTTTTTCTTATTATCTCAGACATAAACACAGTGGCTTCACTTTTTGCTCACCTTGAGTTGTGGGATCTATTTTAAACAGACAAACTGCTAATTCCCATCAATCTACACTCAATTATCCATTGTGACACTGTCATAATGATTAAAGTAGATTACAGTTTGTCATCCTTTAATTTTTATAGGTTTCCAGACCCGTACTTCAGTACTCTGCAGAAACACTTTTGACAGCGTGCAGAGTTTCAGGTCTCTGCGGGTGAATCTCTACATGTATTCTACAAAGTATTCAGATACAGTATCATAACACTACCATACTGGACATCACTCGTGCAGAAGCCTACATTTACATCTTCATGGCTGCTTCCCACAGCGCTGTACTTTGTGTTTGTTTATAATCAAGAAATCTTAGCATGCTAACTGGCTAACTGCTAAACATCAGCATGTTGGCACTGTCAATGAGAGAATGTGATGATAAAAAATAATCTTGGAAAACAAAGCTGTTTTCATTTGTGAAGTTTAATCTGAAGTGAGCAGACTGACAAGCATCGTTTCATCATGAGTGTAAAATGGTAAATTATGTTGATATTTTGTGATCAGGACTTAGTCATCAAGCACAAATCATCCTGACTATGACTTTCAGTAATGACCTCATGAATCAAAGGGCTGAGTAAAGGGGTGACTGGTGAGAGCAGTATGTGAGAGAGGACAGGGAGTGGGTGCTGCAGAGGCGACATTTTGGGATGGTGACTTCATGAGTGAAGTTTGGCAGTGACAGCGGCAGATGGATGACAACATCCATCTGGTCAATGTGTCTCCTCATCCTTGGGAGAGCTAAACACAGACAGGAGACGACACCTGGTCTACACATACACGTATTCTGACTACTTCTTACAGTACTGTAAAGGGATCTCAGATAAAGACATAGCAAAACTTCAAAACAGGGTAAAAATTAATAACCTTATTAAGCAGATGTCAGCAAGCTATAAACCATCTATGCTTTTTCGTCCATTAAAATGAATCACACATCTTCCAGAAAGGTCAGAACGTCTCTTCTGTCAGTGAATATTCTATAGCAGAAAAATGTGGTTCCCAGAAGACAAACTGAATTAACTGGGCCTTGCCCAAGGCTACACACATGGAGCCTAACAGCTATAATAGCTGTGTCCACATCCAAAACAAGCTCTGTGAATTCATTAAACAAGCATTCATAGGATCTCACTTTGCCCACAAAGAGGACATTACCTCATTACAAATCCTGGGTTGTTAAAAGTCCTTTAAAACGGGAGCTAACTGCTGCATAAGAGGGTGATGCAAGTCTTACGGTGGTGAGCACTCTGCCAGGTCTTGCTACTGGCTACTCCTCACTCCAGTAGCTAATTACTTGGGTGGTTGAACAAACAAGCATCTCAATGAGTTGATGTTAGAATACAAAATTAATTAGCATGTATGTTTACGCATAGACTCTTGAGTTCTTGTGTTAACTACAGCAATGCAAGTATTCTTACAAACCAATAAGTCTGACCTTGAGCTTCTCTCAAGTACTTTGCCTCATTAGGACATGCTGTCTGATAGTCTGGTTTTAATTAACGCCCAGGTAGACTAAGTGACTTTTACTTGACTTAAAGTAACCCTCCGCCAGTAGGGGGAGATATCCCACTAGGAGGCATGTAAGAAGAGGATCTGACCAAGAGTGCACTGTACATGCTGGTGAGTCTTCATACCTATGTCATTGTATGCAGTGCATGTTTGTGTCTAGCTGTGTAAATGCAACATTACATATTTTGCTCTATTTCAGTCATGTGTGCTGTTAGAAAGGTTCACATAGAGTCTTACATTATGTTTTAGGGATAAGTCCTTCAGAAGGAGGGGCTGGGATTTATAACCTGTCACTTATGAAAATGACGACCTGTCACAGTGAAAACTGTCTCTTCTTCACGCCGAGTCCTTCAGCATCCTTTGGGTTTTTAATGTTGCAATGAAGCTTGATCAAAAAAAACTTTATCCAGTAATGAGCTCAAGCTGTTTAATGGAAGGACAATCCCTCTTGTAAACAGAAGCTGGAGAGCGAGTGCCAGGGGCAATGCCCACATATTAGCTGAGAATATGAATTAATGAGGAAGGATTAAGGTGACAGGTGGTTTTAATGTGGAAGCAGCCATCAAGCTGAAAGCCAGGGAGTCTGCTCTCAGTCAACACGTGTGGTGTCCTCTCTTGTAGTGTTATTCTTGCTGAATACTTCGCAGAACGAGGAAAAAAAAAGTTCATACCGGCAGGACTGAGCCAAGACTCGTATACATTCATCAAAAAACCCCACTGCGTCAATGTGCGTCATGCTTACAGGAACAAAGCCTCTGCATTGATTCATGGGTTTCCATGACTACAGCTGATGAAAGCATGGCAACGCTTTAACTGTACATACAACACGCACATAAAAATGCTACATACTTTGAGGGCTTTCTGTGCTGCTTCACTGGAGCCGATGATAATAAGGCCTGGTCCTCCCATGCTGCAGCAGCTCTTCAGGTGCAGCCCCTCCACTACAGGTACAGTGGACACAGCATAATCCTGCACAACACAGTCCAATTCAGTGAGCCACAAACTGAAGATTATGACCAGCTATGTGAAGACAGGATAGATCCAGGTAATAAAAATTATTTTAATCAATGGCACCACTCTGTAAGGGCAAACTGTTGAGCAGACAGAGCACTTCAGGTTGATGGTGTCAGCAGTTACGTTCTGCAAGTGCTGGTACAATTTTATCACAAGTGTATTTCTACAAGATTGTTACTCTAAAAAGAATTTTTTTTTGAACAGCAACAATATCATTAGCTCATGGCATAATACAATATATAAGATGTGGTATGCTATATATAATAACCTGTGTAGCTGTATAATGTAAATCATACACACTTACCCAAATGTAAGAGAGCAAACCTCTGTGTTCTTTTCTAATTTTCAAACTCTAATCTTCATTAATCTTCATAAAATAATCTTTATTGTAAGCTTTCCTTTGTCACAATCAATTCAAACCAAAAAAGTGCTACAGCTCCATTCAATGTAAGCGAAACACTATTTTTTTTTATTTTCTGTATCATTAAATGGGGTCTCAAGTGGCCTTTAAAATAAAGCAGCAGGCAGCGCAGAGGAAACAGCAAGAGTGTCTGGGAGATGATGTCACGGAGATCGCCCAGATCAACTTGTGGGAGTCTGACTGCAGGAGGTTTTATACCAGACATTTGCATTACAAGTTTTACAAAACAACAGGTAATAAAAAATGATACCTAAAACCACTGTAATTATGTGGATTGGGGATTCACTGTTGGTATCTTTGACATTTAAAAGCTGCTCATAGTAAAAGGCTGAAAATATGTTTTCAGGGCCTTTAAATCTCATGTCTTTTTAGAATAAGGATAAAAGTAGTGTTCAGCCAGCAATAGCATCCATAGTGACTGATATATGGTCCATTTTGCTTCAGGACACAATCATATGTACAGTATTGTATAGTGTTTTATTTATCTTTAGCTGATTTTGGACCAACTCCTTCAATAAAAGCCTCTTTTTTTGCAAAAGTTAAAACCACATTTGAAGAATTACAGCATACTCTGTCAAAACTATGTTATTTTACCACTGACTTTCTGTTGATTTTGATTTATTGGACCAAAGAATTTACCACTTTCAACTTGATTGATTAAACTGATACAGAGACTGAATGTTTGTGACATTTACAACATCGATTAAGCCTTTTGAGAACTGCTCAGATCAGAGCTGGGTCCTGCAGAGACTTTTAAACCTAAGATGAGTTGTGATTGGAATTATAATAGAATATGAGAATTTATTTTCCAAAACTTTTCCTTCATGGGTTGATGTAAATAAATGTACATGACCATATAAAAACTTTTCTAAGTGACATCCATGTGTTTTCTTAAAGACATAATATGCACTGAATGGGATTTTATAGCTCTTTGCTTCTTAAGAATCGCATGAAGTATTTTCCATCATTTCATCAGGAACTTTTTTACCTTTCAGAACATGCTGACACTTTTCAGGCCAATATTTGTGCTGCATTATTACCTCCAGTGAAGTGCTATGATTACCTGAACCAGATATTTTGACTGACTAACAAATTAGCACGTGGCAGTTCATCAGGCTAAACACTTTCATTACTGCATTCTTGAGGTTTTCCTGAACTCTTTCCTTGTTTAGCACAACGCCTGACCTTTCTTCATCCCTTATCCGTGAACAGGAAGTTTTGCTGCAGTGTAAAATTAGAAATACTAGTCATACTTTTCTCCTTACGAAGATAAACCCTCAAGGGAAGTCATGCACAGACAGAATTCTTTTTCATCAGCAGTAGCAGGCTGCTGTACTGCCACACTGCGACCTGAAAAGATCTTATTGACCAACCCAGAAGCACAGCAGACTTAGCTTGCCCACGTTCGTGTGTCAGCACCTCTTTGTTACAACAGTAAAGAACCTCTATATTACTTTCTGAACAATCTTATTCCATCGGCAGCACCAAGTACCCTGACCTCTGCAAGCACCACAAAGAGAAGAGTGTCAACATCTGTGCGTAGTTGGGGAGTGCTAAACAAAGCTGGTAATGAAATGATCCTTAAATTGATAATTATAGGAAAAAACAATGACAGGAGGAATAAACCTGATTAAAAAAATGGAAAGAACAATAACGGTCGCTCAAGTGATTTTTCCTTGTCTCGTTTGCCAAAGATGCATCATTAAGTCCTGTCTTATCGAAGATAACGGAAAACACAGAGGAATTTGTAATGAGGAATTCAAATCAGATACAGATGGGAGAATGGAAGCGCTACAATAAGGCCATTCATGTTACAGTAATGTGCTGAACTCTTAATTCCATGACCCACCTCTGAACTTGTGAGTCAGCCGGCTTGTCTCTTTTGTCATGGTTTCTCAGAGCAAATCCAAAAACAATACACACGAGTCCACAGGCTAAAACTTCTTCACATTTCAATAACAGTAAACAAGAAAGATCAGATCAGTCTGTGGGTGTGTGTGACCCACACTGTGACCCTGCTTGTATGCTGTAACAAATCTGTTGTTTCAGTGATGTATGGCATTTTTTTCTGAATATTTCCCTTGGATGCGTGTGTCATATGGGAGTGGTTATCAAAGCCAAACCACAGCACAGGCATATTAGTCAGAAAGTAGCTGGAAAGGAAAATATTGTGAAAACTATTTGAAATACAAAATCCTTGACACCAACAAAGAGCTGAAAAAAAAAAAACACAGACCAGGCTTATACACTTACTGTTGCCTTTTAGTTGACAAATAAACCTAGTGAATATTTTTCTTATGGTCAAACCAACAATGCAGTGGTTCGTGTCCTTCTCTACCCTGTCTATGGCACTTAGCCCCAAGCCCACTGTTTCCTACTTGCGGACACAAATCTCTAAAAAGTCTTAATAACTTTCCAAAATAGCTAGAAAACAATACTCAAACAGAATTATATTAGGTGCTGGGGCAAATTAAAGCCACAGATATACAGGAGTTCACTATTTTGAGTACTTAAGAGTTAAAAGGCAGTGAGATCAACTCAAAATAAACTACAGGGGTCATCATGATCCTCTAGTCAGTGTCCAGTTTGTGGCCACAAAGAGAGTGTAGTCTCGACACAACCTGGTGGTCAGACATCTGCAGCCAGCAGAACAAAGTGGATACAAGGAAGGAAGAAATGTAGGTAGAGGTGGAAGAGAGAGACATTAGAGAGAGAGAGATTAGAGAGAAAGAGGAGGTGGTGGAAAAGTACAGGATGAATGGGGTGATAATGTTATCTTCCTGACCTAAAGCTTTTCTGATGGATAAAACAGTATTTCCCTCTTCATCCCTGTTGGGATGTCTGTTCACTCACAGCATGTTTAGGGACCATTAAAAAAACCCCTGAAGATAGAACAGTGGTTGTGTATTCCATAAAGTATCTTACTGTCAAAATGTCCTTTCACACCCCTACATTTAGGTGTCCAGAAAAACCTATACAACAAAGCTTTAATCCGTAGTGTCATACAGATTAACAAACATATTTAAATCTGGTGTAAACAATAGTTTTATATAGACAGCTTCTGATGTTTGATGGAAAGATTTTGCATATAGTGTCAAACCCACAGAGAATTACTGTGTAAGGCTACTCTGTAGTATAGGTCCTCTCTGTTCCAAAGAGTTTTATAGCATTTTCACCTCATTGTTTAGGTTCTGCAATCTGTAGTTTTACAGTTCTGGTTCACTCTCACATCATTTTCAGCTGCAAAAATGCTCTAAAACACACCATACCCTATATAGAGCAACAAACAATTATTTAGCAGCAAAAAATAAAGATTTTTCTTCTTTCTTTAAGTATGAATTGCAATTTGACTATTTCCTATGACACTGCACCACTTCCACTCACCTTAAAGGCATCTGCTAGGATCTCTGCTCCTCTCTGATTGGTGCGTTTGGAAAGGCCCACAAAGAACTCTCGACCTGGAGAACCAGATGTCGATAAAGTTGTGTAAGAAAAGTTCTATGAACAAAAACAGTACATCCAGAAAGAAATATCTGTAACTCTACAGCATTCAAGTGTAACTCTTGAACACCAAGAACACAGGGAGCCACAGTAACAGAATGCTGCAGTCGACACAGTGCGTGCTTTATGCATGCCTGTCAGAAAGGCCTGTGGTCAGTATGGCGGGGCACAGACAGACAGAGCCCTGAATGCCTGGCGAGGCTGCAGCAGCAGTAGCAGCACACAGGGCTCAGGGATGGGCTCCTAATGTAGCTGCTGAGCTTTTACAAAAATGAGCTGTTAGCCAGCGCCCTGCCAACAGGAAATGTTTCTAGCCCTGCCATGTGAAACCAATTTCAGTTGGAAGGAACAAGCGCACAGAGCCACTGTCTAGAAACCCAATTAAGTGTACTATACTTTTTCCTGGTGGCCTGCACAGTGTAGAAGAAACTGACCCACATTTTAACTCACCACGCGACTGTAAGAGAATGTACAGAAAGCCTAATAAAAGACCACCATGCTCCTGATTCGCTTCTCTTCCAGGTTTATTACCTGATCTCTGGCTAATAAAAAGCCCTGTGGTGAAAGTTTAGAGTCCTGCTGCTGCGATATGACCATGCAGTACGGCACACAAATGTTTTTGCAAATTCTGCTTACTGCGCTGAGGTGCCAGGTCATCGAGGCCACACAGAAGAATGTGTGCGTAGAGTATCCCAACACACAGACACATACTTGTGCCACCACCATCTGCTGGCTTACAAAAGGGACTGAGACTGTTCTGCCGTCCCACCACTCAATAGTGTTTCCTATTTAAAATTACATCCTCTAAATTTACTTAATTTCAAGTAGTCCTAGAAGTGAATGCAGTCCCAGGCTACATCTGGTTGGTCAGTTATAAAATTCTCCCTGACCTTTTACTATAGTTTGAACCAAGAGGAACACATTTAACATGCATAATGGAAGCAGTAACATGCAACTAGATGTCTTCACTTAGGAAACAAACAAGTTAGAAGTGAAGACAGTGAAGACCTAATGCACCTGCCAGCCAATCAGACAATTTCATAACAACCCCACAGTAACACATTTTAGTTATCAAAGCCATCTATATATTTTATTCTTATAAACTAATAGCTGCATTTTATGATAGACCTTTGACTTCTTTCATGAGCTGAACACAGTACAAATGTTAACTGTATATTAAAATCGTGATTACCACTAGACCTGCTGAATGGCTTTTACGCCTGTTTTGCATGAGTTCATACTTAAGGTCAAAATTTACTGTAGTGTGAATAATGAAGCTACCGTATGATGATGGCCTCAGGCTGCTGTGTGACTGACATGACCCTATAAAACTTAATGGGTTATAAACCAAACACAGTAAATGAGGGGGCAGTGGAAGCTACAGTACCTGTAAAAAGCACATCGCCTCCATCCAGTGTCGCGTTCTCATCAGTCATTTCCACAATGTTTAGATTCAGATCCTTCAGAGCTCCTTTCATTGCCTCCGTCTGAAAAAAAACACACAAACGGAAATCCACTTAAAAACATTTCCAAATATTAAACAAAAGACTGGATTGTGGTGATGTACAGTTAAACCGTCAACATTCCCAGGCTTCAGGAATATTATGATATGATCCAGTTCTAATCATACATCTGGAAACAAGAGAAAAATAAATCAGTTTGTGGATTTTCACTGGATTTCTGTAAGAAGACCTCTCTCCATCAGTTTGAGATGACATCATTTAAATGAGCCGTGAAATGATGTCATTTTGGAGGAAGTACATTAAACTTTTTACAATGAAGTGTCTGATATTTTGGATCATCTGTCTTTCATATAAGGAGGAAATAAAAGCATAGCTGCCACCCAGTAGCATTAGAATATATTGTGAAATGCATTCCCTGGTGGAAAATAATGGGAAATCCACATTTCTCCCGCATGTCCTCTCTGAAACTAGAGGGAAGAGCAGGCCTGTTTTTGGCTGAACTTTGGCTGCTCTCCTGTCTGATTGCTCAGGGTGATTTGACTGTCCTGTTGTCAGGGTTCCTGCAGAAATAGTTTCTTGAAGTGTTTCCACCAGCCCTATCTCACTATGACCTCAGCCTGCTCACTGGGCTTCCTGGTGAACACAATGCTTCTCCTCGTTCGTGTAAGGCAGGACCATGAGGTCACCCAGGTAAATTGCCATGAACTTCCCAGATGGCATATGACATATAAATACAGAGATGTCTATTCCTTACAACTACACACACACACACAACTACAGCATACACCACAAAGCATATTAATAATTTCAAGCTACTACATGTAGCTTTTACAGCTTTTTATTTGAATGAGTGTTTCTTTAAATGGCCTTATGACCCAGTGGCTCACAACCACAGTGGCACCTGTCCAATCTATACATGTTCCAGAAGTAAGCTAGCAGAATCCCACAGAACAATTAAACTGTCCTCCTCCGTGTTTCATCTCCACTGCAGGCGTTCTGCTACTCTTTCTGCTTCAGTTCACGAGGAGAAACAAAGTGTGCTTCCAAGTAACTGGGTTCATGCATTCACTAGTGATTTATTCTTAAAAGCTTTTACAGCAACAAAGTGATGCATATTACATATAGGTAACAGTTATTCCATGTCATTTTTTTGTTCATGCAAAGCAAAGGGAAGCCAAGGTGCTCTCTGCTTTTTATTTAGCTTGTAGAAATGTTTGGCAGCAAATAAAAAGTTGAGTCAGGTTCTGAGAAAGTAAACAAGCCAGATGTTTGATGAGAACTTGCTCTTCTGATGTTTGTTCACGTCATGTGTTGTTGTGTTTGCGTGTCACTGCTAAAGAGTCCCAACAATGTCATCTCTGCACCATCACTATTTTATTATATGTGAGGAAACCTCTAATGACTTTTTCATAAACATCCTGTGTGCATGTCTGTGCCCATTAGAGAGGACAGGCTTGCATGACAAAGCTGCATATTTTAGCCCCACAAATTAAAAACGGATTCTTTTTGACTATTGAGTGAATAGGCTATACTAGTCCAAACACATTAGTCTGTTTAACACTACAGTGTCATTATCAGTGACTCCTCCTTCCTTTTTTTAACCTCTCTATAGCACAGCAGAGCCTCCACTATCACAGTGGTCGTGGCAGGAGGCAGCTCTTTACCTCAGCTCTCTGGCATTTCCTCTGACATTACTGCTGGTGATCTGACCCAAAGGGTGTTTTGTCTCCCCACACCATTTGAGATGTAATGGCCCCTACACATAGACAGCAGCATGGCATGTGCTCTGTCTCTTGTGTTTATGTGTGGCACAAAGCACCAATTAAGCTGTCTTTCCACACGAATGCAAAAACTGCAGCTCGGCTGTTTGGACTGGCGATTTGGTACACATGGAAAATGAGATGTGGACAAAAAGCATAGAGGAAAAACTGAAACAAAACAAGAAAAATAAAATCTGCATTTAAAAAAATGTCATGAATTTTGTGGCCATTTTTAGTGTTCAGAGGAGAAGACTGCATGCAGTGATTAAATGGTTTCTGAATGGTAAGGCATGCCCTGGCTATAAAGACAAAGTGCAGACTTACTGCAATTTATCACTTTGGTGATAATGCTTAAACAAAACATGTTGTTCTTGCAAAAAAAAAAAATAAATAAAATAGCAGCAGAAAACCCTAAAGTTCATGAAGCAAAAGTAACCTCACCACTCCATGACCTGTGAGCCCGGTAATATCTGTTTTCAATGCTTGAAACATTGGTAGCTCATTCTGTTGGACTGTCTTTCAAGAGTGAAACACTCAGCTGTGTTCTTACACCAAAGAACCAAGTGTTTGCCAGCTCTGGCCCACATCTTGCTGCAAAATTGAGAAGGTTTGTAGGACTGGGCGCAGTTGCTGAAAAATCACCTCCACTTAGCAACAACCTAGGCTATCTTTGAGCCTGTGCCAACATCAATAAAAGGAAAGGCAAGCATGGACTGTGCCGGATTTAAGACAATTTTTGCCCAAATGATTTTAATTACTGAGTTGCAGACCCAAGAGGAATCAGCTCAAATGTTTTCTATGGGGTTAACTGGTCTATTTTGCCTTTGAAATATATTCAAAAACATGCATTCCCTATCCCGGACAGCATCACTCAGGTAGTGCATGGGCGCAAAGAAACAACGCATTGACATCCTGTGGTTGTGTAGCAGTGGTCGGAGAAACAGCTGGAAGTATTCATGGGAAATGGAAAAACTACAACTGCCGTAAAGGGATGCACCTGTGAAGCTGTAATGTATCCATAGGCTGTGGCGTTTAAATAATTCTCAGGGGGCAGCAAAAGGCTTCATTTAAACGAAGAAAATCTTGCTAACACCACCTTACCTCCACCTGTCTACATTCTTGATGTGTATGGCATGTTTTGACTCTGCCATCAGCAGGTTGTAACAGAAACAGCGAGTCACTGAAGCAGATAACCTACGCATATACTTCTGCATAGTTGGCAGGATTGCACATTTTTCCTGCTGTCACACATCCAGCCATCCGGGAGGCTTTTGTTCTGACATACCCCTCAGCAGTCACTGATATCTCAATCTATCCCAATCTGTTATTTCCAAAGTTGTGGCACATTTTCTTCTTTGACCTCATGTCGTCGACTACTTTTTGTCCACAACACTATGACTGAATGGAAGGATCACAGCGTTCTCATTAATCTCTCTGCAGTGCGTTAAAGTCCCAGGAGAAAGAAATTTCTGAGATGTCTAAACTAGGATCAGTGAATATGACAGATCAAGTCATCTAGATTATTGCACACTAAGATTACAGTAATTAAAGTAACCAAACCTCTTTATCTCATTTGTTTTCGCTATATTAATGTAATCAGAAACATGCTAGTCACTGTCAGAAAAATACCTTCATCGTAAACGGCCGGGCGTGTTTCTACAACAAAGCAGCTGGTGAATTATGAGGTTTGTTATTGGTTGTGGCAGAGCATTAATGCAGTAATCATGACTGACAAAGCTCTGCCGCCTGCTACTTAGTAGTAAAACAATTAGCATGCCACTGCATGTCCTAAAACAGCTCCCCACAGATACACTGCAAATCACAGCAGATTAAGCTTGAAGTCAGTGTTCTGCAGCCTCTTCTTGTATGCAGACAAAAATAAATCCATCTATTGGGTACAATCACCTATTTCAGGTCCATCAGTCATTTAGCTAAGTCTATAATTGTCACTAGTTTGTGGAAATTCTTGTTCTCACTATCATTTACATAAAAGTGGCATAAATTAATGATCAATATAGATTAAGGTAATTTTCTCCATCATTTAAAGGAACAGTTTGATAAATCTGCATATTTACTTTCATGCTGAGAGTTGGATGAAAAGACTGATATGCTTTTCTTAAGACAGGCTAGCTGTTTCTCAGTTTCCAGTCTTTGTGCTAAGATAATCTACTTGATGGCTGTGTATTATGATTTAGAATACAGACATGAGAGTGGTATTGATACAAATGAATACAAACGAAAGGTACAGATATTTCATATAATGGCCTCTGACCAAATATCTACCAATTACCGTCACTTCAGTATCTCAGATCCGAGCCCTTTTGTCTCATCCTGTAGGATAAGACATAATCATAAATTTATGCTTATGCTTTTTTCTTTGTCTCTCACATTTACACTATCCTCACTAGACCCTTGTGGCAGTGTCAAGAATGCTCCTACAGTGGCTTCCCATGCAAAGAGGCCTATTATCTCTAACCGGGAGGGACATCCAATACACCACACTGTGTGGATGCCAACTCACTTTGCCAGCACCTCCTCCTCTCTAACCCTCTAGTGCTCAGCCTTCTTCTCTCCTCCGTTTCCCTGAATGCTTGGCCAGGAGGCATGCTGTTAGCCAGCACCCTGCTTTGAATGAAAAAGGCCTTTTAAAATTCATTAGGAGTTGAAGGCTTTGAGGGCCAGTTGGTCTGCCTGCCACATTCCTGCCGTTCCAGCACAGGACAGGGGAGACAGAGCAGAGAGAATAGCCTTTTATTTGGGGCTTTTTATGGACCCCTTCTCCCTTCTCTTGCCCCTGGTACCCGTGGATATCGCATTCTGCTAAAGAGGACCATCAGGCTGATAGAGCACGGTGCATTTGGAAAGGGAATCGAGTACACAACAATAGCATTCCTGAAGGTCATCCTAGCCTCCCCTAACCCAGCAACAGAGTCCCACGCTCCAACATAATGGGGTACAGCATTCCTCTGAGCTTCACACGGAAGGAGGTTAACCTCTTTAAATTGAGAGCTATCAGCTGCACTTTGCGAATCAGTGGCACATAATGCCAGACATTTACAAGCTGTAAACTCTACACTGACATATTATCACCTGAAAAAGTTAATCTAGCAAATAGTTGTCTATTTTTACATCTAGCATACAAGGAGCAACGTTAGCATTCATGTTGAATCATATTTCTGGCCACCCAGCAAAAGTGAGTCCAGTCTATACGTTCCTTTTAAATCTGCTTTGGTCTCTTACAGCTGCTGGGAAGGGAAATATCTG